CATCAATACAGTAGATCAAGTGTGGAACAATTATTGCGTTATATAATATAAACAGACCTTTATCATTAAATAAATAAATTGTATACATTAAGTTTTAATGACATCACCTCAGTTAAATGAAAGGTTCATACTTCAGCTGGCTGCAGTTGGTTTTGTGTGCAGATCAATGTTGCAACTTCAAATCATGTAAGTTTAGTGTTTGATTGTTATTACACGTTAACAATGAACTGATTAACACATTTAACTGGTTGTGTAGTAGTACAAGTAAAAACTACATTTAACTACCRGTAGGTTCTAACCATGGATTCCTCRGTGGTAACTGGACTTATAGAGCGCTTTATCAAGTCCCTGTGGACCCCAAACTTACAAACACTCACACATTCACACCAGAGGCGGTTTCTCTAAGACTGCAAGGGAAGCTCAGCTTCCCCTAAAATGTAAAAAATAAAAATAAAAAAAATAAAATAAAAAAAGATAAAATATATACTGTTGTATGTTCATGTCATTGACTAAATATGCGCTACAACGCGCTCAACATTTGTTCAGAATCAGCTTCTTATCACTGGTAACGACGCAGCTTTCCTCACCCTCATTCCCACAGCTTCACAGTGTTTAAACAGTCGGACGCTGAGCGTCCACAGAGCTCATTAGTGAAGCAAAGAGTGCAGCTAAACGAGACGAGTCGTTGGATAAATGCTGGCTTTGTCCCGCCCATCGGATGCTGAGCGTCTCTGTGGGTCTATGGAGCAGGGGGCTGGGTCGGACGCTCGTTGTCTGCATGATGATTGGATGATCTGTTGGAGGCTGAATCCCTTTTTGATTGACAGCGAAATGAGCGAATCAGAGATCTTTTTGGTGTAAACATGCATGGGAGCAGTTTTTAGTTTCATTTCTGTTCTGATTTGAACCGGAGACTTTATTAATCCTTTTACCAGCATTTTTTTTTGTTAAAAACTGCTAGCAACAAATCGAACTTCTATTTCTGGTGTTATTTNAATATGCGCTACAACGCGCTCAATTTTTGTTCAGAATCAGCTTCTTATCACTGGTAACGACGCGGCTTTCCTCACCCTCATTCCCACAGCTTCACAGTGTTTAAATCAGAGGAGCCCAAAGTGGGGCCCGCGGGCCAAATTTGGCCCGCCAAGCCATTTGATTTGGCCCACCAACAGTTGCCAAAGTTACAAGGTTGTAACTTGTTATCCTATAGAAACACAGTATTTCCACTGGTCAAATGACTATATAAAAGGGCTGTAGTGAAGGTAGTTTTCATTCATGGTGCTGACATTTCTTTGATTTATTGGGATTAAACATGAAACATGAAATGACAACAAGAAATATTTAGATCAGATTTAACCCCACATGTAGATTTGCRCAYTTYATAAGGCCACAAAAACTAATATTTTATCAATTTATGAAATATCCCATGAGCCTTTGCTACTTGAGCGTATGGCAGACTTTCTCCAAGTGCACAGACTAAAACAAAAGAGGGCCACTGCATAGCTTAATCTTTAAAAATAAAGGACTTTACTTAAAAAAGTGTTTGTATTTCATGTATTATATAACTGCATTTGGCCCGCAGCCATGGATAGATTTTAATTTTTGGCCCCCTCGGGGAAAATGTTTGGGCGCCCCTGGTTTAAACAGTCGGACGCTGAGCGTCCACAGAGCTCATTAGTGATGCAAAGACTGCAGCTAAATGAGACAAGTCATTGGATAAATGCTGGCTTTGTCCCGTCCCCGGATGCTGAGCGTCTCTGTGGGTCTATGGGGCAGGGGGCTGGGTCGGACGCTCGTTGTCTCCATGATTGGATGATCTGTTGGAGGCTGAATCCCTTTTTGATTGACAGCGAAATGAGCGAATCAGAGCTCTTTTTGGTGTAAACATGCATGGGAGCAGTTTTTAGTTTAGTTTCTGTTCTGATTTGAACCGGAGACTTTATTAATCCTTTTACCAGCATTTTTTTTTGTTAAAAACGGCTAGCAACAAATCGAACTTCTATTTCTGGTGTTATTTCTGTAGCTGCTTATGTTTGGAGACAGACTTCTACCACTCTGTCTGACTTCTTCTGTCCAGTGGGTGATGCTCCCTTCACCGTCATGAAACACTCACAGACGGACACACTTCACACTAGCCTCGCGCCAGTAACAAGCTGCACATAATAGCAGTTTGAATGTTGTGGACTGGATTTTGGTGAAGCCATTATGGTCTTGTTTAAAGAGAAAAACTTAGTGAAACAGCAGGGCTGATCAACTCCTCAGAATAATTTGGTGCAAAAGGTGGGGAAAAGTAAGATAAATAAAACTTTTTATTGCTCCCACAG